CAGATCAATTCCAACACTACAGTATTTTGTGTGGTATAGAATGGCAAGTGTTATTATCATATGTGGTTGCGAGAAGCAAACGTCCTGTGAGTTTGATAAACAGTCTAAACACGGTATCCAGTCACAATGGTCTTCTGATGTCAAAAGTGAGATCGGATTGAACTATTAGACTAGACTGAGTTTTGAGTTGTTGGATTTGAATTGATGAGATATGTGATAAGGGGGGAATGGAAAGTTCATGGCACGCCTATTAGCCATAATGGAAGAAATAAAAAATCGGTTAAATGGAGATATGAGGCTGCTTAGGTGCCGATCAACATGATACAAGGGCCGTAATAAATGCCATCCAGTCTGTACAGGGTCATCGGCAAGGATCTGGCAACCAGATTTGATTGGCAGCAAAGTGAATGCCAGGAGTGGGACATAAGCAAGTGCTTGAACAAGAAACAAATCAAGGTGAAGGAAGAAATTGCATGCAGAGAGTACGATTTGAAGGCACGGGAGCCATATATGTGTCCTAGCCATGTAGAGATGGAGAAATATGAACTGGGGAAAGTAAAGAAAGCACATGTAGAAGGTAAACCCCTGAACCAGGATGTTAATTTGGGAATGACTCTGGAGACTTGTGCCAGATTGCACAACAGAATCCAGAACAAAAATTGGGGCCTTTCTACCCAGTACAGAATCCGGCACACTGTAAATGCGGGGCTGCTCCACGATCCCGGTTGAGAGCTAATTGCCAACAGATAAAAGAGAACCAAGAGTTTATCTTCTCTATCTACCACTCCCAGTCAGCTGCCAGCTGTCCAAGACAGGAACCATTGAGCATTGCAGCATTAGAGGGAATCCACGCTGTTAGAAGCCCCTATTAACCTTTAAACGCCTTGCCATGCCATCTGGATAGCCGCCCACAGCTCACTGGTAATTGGCGGCGTAAGATTTTGGGTGCGAATGGATCTCTCCATCACGTTCCATAAATGCTCAATTGGGTTCATGTCGGGCGAACGTGGTGGCCACACCATTCGTCAGAACTCTCCAGAATGCTCTTAAACCAATTCTGGACAACTGCGGCCTGATGACATGGTGCATTGTCCTGCTGGAATATTTCATCATTGTGGGGGTACATGAAGTCCATGAAGGGCTGCAAATGGTCACCAAGCAGTGTAATGTAGCGGTCACTGGTCAATGACGTATTTAGGTGGATGAGCGGACCCAACTCATACCACGTGAACACGCCCCACACCATTATGGAATCACCACCAGCCTGCACTGTGCCTTGTTGACAACTGGGGTCCATGGCCTCAAGGGGTCTGCGCCCCACCCGAACCCTACCATCCGCGTGAAACAACTGGCACCATGACTCATTGGACCATGCCACATGTTGCCAATCCTCCAGGGTGCAATTAGCGACGTCACAAGCCCAGGTGAGGCGCTGTATCTGGTGTTGTGGTGTTAACAGAGGCACTCTTGTCGGTCTTCTGCTCCCATATCCCATGTTAGCTAAAGAACGCTGCACTGACCTGCTGGATATGCGTCTGGTACCTCCTGCATTGAATGTGGATGTGATTTCAGCCAGTGTCGCTTGTCTGTTACCACGGATAATTCTAGCAAGGCGCTGCTGGTCACGATCATTAAGCACCGTAGACGGTCACTGCGCTATCCACGATGGGTGGAAATGCCTTCCACAAGGTATTCCCGGTACACACGCGACACTGTGCATCGAGGAATGTTAAATGAAGTGGAATGGAATGTCCCATCCGCCTGGGACCCACTATCATGCCCCGTTCAAACTCGATAATTCACGTCTGCTTGCCACGAGCAGACTGGCCGATGTTCAACCTGACTCACGAGGGAACACCTCACAACTGATACTGCTCTGGGCATTCCCAAGCCATCAACGGATGGTGGCGCCACTTAAAAATAAATTTACATACTGCTATCCCATGACTTTTGGCACTTGAGTGTATATATATATTGTGTAACGTGTTTCGTTACTGAATACGCCGTAGAGATCGTTAATTGGTTTATTCAGCAATCTACGAGAAACGGCTACAATTAATTATCACAATGTTACGGGTTTCCACAGTTTACAAACCCTACAACAAAATCTTCACGTACTAATAACGCGGGAGCTATACAAATCTCCCTGAATTACACACTCCAAGTATAACTGTACTACGGCACTCACTAAGTCTCGTAAGCACACAACAAGTCTTCCGCTCGCTGACTTCTTAGTTATCGCACACTCGCAGGCTGCTACCTTGAGCACTGTTGATAACACACTGGTCTCGCTTGCTGCTCAGCCGGCTTATATTCCTTTCGCTGTTGCTAGTGTGACGTGGCGTATAGCCTAGGACGCTGTTACTCACTTGGTGACGTCACCGCTGTTGACTCGCTTTGCATAGCTTCAAGGTTGCGGGGACTCGGCTAACGTCGGCTCCGCTCGGCTCACTTCGGCTCCGCTCGAGACGTCACCGCGGGGAGAGTGGCGGGGTGATTACTCGCCTATTAAGCGAGCGCTACGTTACCGCTACGTGCAGCTGGGGAGATAGGGGTCAACATGTCACACTATATATATATATTGTCAAGTGTAGGGGGGTTTTGCCGGGCCATATGGAGCCTTTATTAGTATCCTATTTAGCTCAGCCTTTATTGCGGCCAGTATTTAAATCGCTCTAATTAATTGACATTGCAATTTTTCAGAAAAAAAAATACATATTTTCCGGTCTATGCAACATAGAAATACGAACTGAAAGCAACTTGAAAGACAATAACATTTTCTACATGTACACAAAAGAGCAATTTTTACCAATGAAAATTAACTGATTATTTTGTTATGAAATGCAAACTATAATCTTTATTATGTATGTTATGAAATTCCAAAGGACTTACCCGTCGGTTTTCTTCAACCTTGAATCATGGTGATATTGTAAATATAATCACACTATATATAATAATATTACTGTACGCGAGTTTTAACTGCGTCACTTCACAGTTTACGATACACACTGACGCGCGTGACACTTCTCGAAGCAGTGCACCCCACACAGAGCAATATCACACTTTTTGCAATGGAAGAGCGTGCTCCTGCTTTTCTTATTTAGTGAAACACATGACGTCTTTGCTTCCCTTTGGTTGGCCAGTGTTGTAAATGTTTGATCTCCAATCGACCCAGTTTGGCCCCAGATAACCTTGGCCTCCCCCCAAGAAATGCCACTGACCGTGATATTCGCCTTGTGCGATTGAAGAATCATCTTGGGGGAGGTAGGTTTCTAGCAAAATGGAATAAGTTATACTGATTAACAAAGCGACACACTCACCTATTTGTAATACTCGCAAAATAGTGATGCAAAGTAATTGTAATACTAGTCGAAAATAGTGCCAGTCCGACACTGATAACGAAAGTGAGTGACGAAGATGCCTTTTACTCACAAAGTAATACTGGCTCAGTGGGTATATACCTCTTCCAAGACACAAAATAAAAATGATATACAAAGAAATATATGACAGTCTGACACTGACTTTTTAACTGATAAAGAAATATTAGACAATCCGAGGCTGACTACCTAACTGATAATTCGCCACTAAAAACCAATCCTTGAATGCGTCACACTTCCTTGAAGGCTCTAGAAGCACTCTTATGCAAGCACAGATGAATATTTCCTCATCAGTTCTCCAAAGAAAGCTGGGTTATATTTGGCTGACCAGGTCATAAACAGCCATATCTACACATAAATAGTATCAAAACCAGTAGGTGATAAATGATTTCATTGTTCAGAGCTAAGGAATGAACCAATGACATGACCTTACATAGGTTTGTTTTGGTTTCAAACCCAAGGTCAAACTGTCAGCACTCCCAAAGGAAGTATGTTTCGGCCAACTCGGGGTGCTGCTTGCTGCATACTATACAGGGTGTTTCACGACTTTAGGGCATAACTGCAGGAGGTGATTTTCTAGGTTTTTGTGATCAAAAAATTTCATATAAACATGTGTCCGATTTTGGACGGTTGCAGAGTTATGACCGTTTTAAACTCAGAATAGAAGGTAATGATTACTGACAATAAACGGAACAAAATAATAAACCAGCATAATACATGATACATTTAAAGTATGAATGTAAAGTTAACTTCGTGAAATTACCTTTAATTTGAACTGATTGGTGCTTAAAGCTGATGTTCGAAAATGCCACCGCCGGCCGCAACACAGTCTGCCGCTCGGTTGTGAACCGCGCGGGTAGCACGTAGCACCTTCAGCTGGCTGTTTCTTATGTGGTCAGCGGCGCCCAGAATGCGACCGAGCAAAGCATCTCGCGTTGCCACCTTCACATTGTAAACCAGTTCTTTCATCCATCCCCACACACAATAATCAATTGGGCTTAAGTCTGGAGACCTAGCTGGCAGTTCTTCGCGTACTCGTACGTGGACTGCGGTGTACCAGTAAAGGCTCCAGTAAACACTCTCCAATTTGGCATTCTACGATTCGGAAAGTTGCTGATATTCAGCTACGGCAAGAACTGAATTACCGTCACCAAACCCGTACACATAAATCATATCTGCATACTCCTCAAATGAAAATGTAAATGGCATCGTGAACGTAACAGACGCACCGAGATAACAACTGTTCTGAACACCAGTAGCCGCCACACTAGCCGTGGCCAGACATACCAACCCGCGACGCCTTAGGCACCTCTCAAGTGTCGAGATAACGAGAACGCCCTGTCTGTAGCTGCTTAAAAATAGGGACCCACCAGATGATAGACGCGGTTCACATGAGGGCGTGTATGGGAATGAAAATGCCGTCATAACTCCGTAACCAACCAAAATCGGACACATGTTTATATGAACTCTTTTGATCACAAAGACCTAGGAAATCACTTCCTGCAGTTATGCCCAAAATTCGTGAAACACCCTGTATATATATAACATTCGGACGTTAAAGGATAATTAGATGTCTGTCTGCATAATTTTATTTAATTTGGAATTTGTTAAACAGTGGAAGTGCAGCTTAACTTCTGCTGAATCAGAAACCTCCATACATGCTCATGGACTCAGGCACACACCGCACAAGGGGGGTGTGCTCTCTCTGTCCCTCCCACCCTCTCTGTAGCCACTCTCACGCCTACTGATTTAACATCTCACTGTACTGGGGCTTCAAACTTATTTCTCTCCCTATTCGGAATTTTTCATGTTATTTACTCTCATTTTCCAGGGTAATTTGAATGAACTTCAACCCATGCATGGCGAGGATCGACAATATTCCTGTGATGAGTGTGGTGAATCATTCAGTCAGCAAGTAATTCTGAGAGCTCATCGATGCATGCATAGTGAGGAGCAGCTGATTTGTTGTGATGTATGTAAAAAGTCATTCAGACAGCAGAGTCATCTGAAGAGGCATCAGTGCATGCATAGAGGGGAGCAGCTGTTTGTTGTGATGTATGTAAGAAGTCATTCAGTCAGAATGATCTGAAGAGGCATCAGCGCATACACAGTGGAGAGAAGCCATTTTGCTGTGATATACATAATATGTCATTCAGTCGGCGGAGCCATCTGAAGGCACATCTGCGCATATATATTGACGTGTGCAGTAAATCATAGAGCGGTAGAGATGGGTTTAGACTACAGGAACAGTATGTGACTTGTTGCATGCCACAGTTTCTCATGTACGTAAGACAGTTTTGCTGTGTGTGCCATGCTTCAGTTTTATAGACTGCTACAATATATTGGAGTTCAATATTGTTACTAACCTTTTGATCTGATGGGAAATGAACTGAGTCCCGTGGTACAAAACATCTGTGCAAATGATTTCCATTTGTTTCTGATTTCTGAATGTGTGCAATGCCCTGTCTTGTTGAGTGTAAGCAGACATGACATGACATGTCATGACATTCTCCTGCATTTATGATGTTAATTCAACACTGGAAGCTAATGATTAGTATAGTGTATCACTGAAATGGATCGACAGCTTATAAACATAATTCAGCAGCATCATATGTTTTTGCTGTGGGTTATCTGTGCTCTTATGCCATTTCCTGTGAGTAAATTCGTTGCTCAGTTAGTTTCAGATTTATATATCGCTTGGATTGAGTATATTGAGATAACTGTTATGGATTGGTCAGATGAATACAAATTATGCTATATTGGACATTGCAAACGAAACATCTGTTTGCGGGACACTTGGTATATTAATTATAAAAAGAACGTTAAATGGAGGTGGGTTGGTCCTGCTTGTGGAGAAATAAAGTAGTGTAGAGAATTTAATTGAAAGGATCAAGAAAGACTTGCTTACATCTTTTTATTTTGAATATCAGCAGAGAAACTGAGCGGTCTGTCATGAGATCAGAGAAGAAAGTGGTTTGGCACTGAGGCACCCCTTTTTGCTTTAGGTCTCCTTTGCCTTAGAAGGAAAGAGTCAACTGAAAATTGTGAAGTAAGTTTCAGTGTAATTATATAATTCTTTAATAAAATTAGGTAGTGTCATTAATATTATTAATTGCAATTCAGAGGTTTCGTGTAGTGGAATGACACAAGAGGAATAGCTTTTAATTGTACTTAAATTCAGTGCAGTTATGCCCCTCCATTCATACTCATTTTCTTTACTGCCTGAATGAGCTGCATCATAACTGAAGGTAATTCTTGGTCACTCTGAGCAAGTGATCTCTGATTACTGACACTTTTCTTGCCAAGGAACGCTTGCTTCATTTTGCATAAGCTGTACCATACGAGTACATTCATTCCTCAATAACTTTGCATCAGCAGAACTCTACCTGGTATGTTGCCACACGTTGGCTGTCACTGCATCACAGACCTGATCCTGCTCCATGGTCCTGGTATATGTGTTCCATTTTGTGTGTCTTCACCATATAAAGTAGTGGGCAGCGCACAAATGGGTTGCAGTTGTCCTCAGAAAAGTGTGAAGTTAGGCTGATGCTGTGTATTCTATATGCGAGTGAAATCATCTGGCTCAGGATAGGGGCCAGTGTCTGGCTGTGAATGGTAATGAACCCTTGCATTCCATAACATGTTGGTAATTTACTGAGTAGCTGAGCAAACAGTAGCTTCTCTGGAAAGGTGTAGCTGTGTTAAATTGGTTAATATTTGGCATTAGAACTTCTAGATTGATTGTCTGGAACTAGAATTTGGTGTTGACCCCATCCTGCTGAAGCAACCCTAATGTGTCTCTGATGGGCAGTAAGTCTGGGTTCCCCTGTTATATACATTGGTGTAGTACAGTATGCTATGTATATATACCTGAGGGCAGTGACTCGCATCCAGCCAGTGAGTTTATGAAACCCTGTATTCCCACCAAACTGAAACAAATCTTGTCTTATTCCAAGAAATGTATTTTTGCAGTATGTGTTTTCAGTTTAATTACTGCTACATAAGTAACTCCAGGGAACTGAGTTAGATCTCATTAATGGAAGTTCTTATTTTTGAGACCTCTCATCCCATTAGTGCAGAAACAGCTTTATATAAATTTTATGTCACCTGAGCACATGCCGTGCACAGTGAAACAGCCGCTTGGTGTAGCTGATGTAGCAGAGGGACTGACATGCAGAGCCACGTGGAAAGGAGGGATGAAGAGACAAATAACAGTACAGACCTCAGCGAATAAGGAATGTGACCAAGAAAGAAGATGGGCAGAATAACAAAGAGACTCTGAACGTGACATAGAAACCTGTACCTTTACTGGAGAAGAAGAAAAAAATGTTTCTGACTTATGCTTCATTCATCAAAATTCAGAATTTAAAATAGGTATTGTATATCACTCAGAATCACGTGCTGGGTTTTTGGATTCTGTTCATTGTCTGGTGTTCAAGAAACAAAAGAATGTACCATTTCAGGAACTGTGTCTGTTTCGGTCCTCTCTTGAGGGTGGGGGGCACAACTACTCTGCTGGGTCCATTAGAAAGAGCTCTTTCTGGCAGGTCAATGGAGAAAGTCCAAAAATCCAGCGATTCCAGAAACCTTTAGAATCTACAGGTATCCTACATGTGTGGTTGTGTTCTTGCGAGCGTGTGATATTTAGGGCTTATTTTACAAGGGGTCTAAGTATTTTAGGCTACATAGCATTGGTTGGAATAATGCTTGATAAGTGGTGAACTTGGAACGATTTGAAACAAAGCACTTGTGACATTTTACCCTGCAGCAACCAAAGAATAAAAAGGAAAGGGTCAGTCGGTACAGCCATCCCCCCCCCGACAATCGAATGGAGCACCTCCTCGATACTAAACTAAACTGGATAAATCGTTTCATGTCTGTTATGCTCATTGTTGAACTGGATGAGGAAGCTTGGCTGCGTCACATATATATTGTCACGTATCGGGCGTATAACGCGACAAATAACTTCACGAGGTATTTGATGTAGCGAATTTTATTTCACATTCGCACTTACAATCACCCAAATTACAGATTTACGATTACTGCTATCTGCAGTATCACAATTAGTACACTCCAAATGCCACGATACAACTGACTAGTTGCTGGCTAACTCGGAACTAACTCGGAGGTAGCTCCAGGACTCACTCGGAGGTAGCTCCAGGACTGACTGTGAATAGCCTTCGCTGCTCCTTATGTAGCCTTGATCGGACAATTGTCGTCTGGTGCCGTGTTGCTAGCCACGCTGTCCGGAGTTGTTGACTGCTGCCTAGCAACCGCGATATCCCTCGGTGACGTCACCGCTGTTGATTCGCTTTGCATAGCTTCAAGGTCGGGGGACTCGGCTAACGTCGGCTCCGCTCGGCTCACTTCGGCTCCGCTCATGACGTCACCGCGCGTTGCGCGTTGCATAGCTACCAGGATGCGGGGTGATTACTCGCCTATTACGCGAGCGCTACGTTACGGCTACGTGCAGCTGGGGAGGTAGAAATCAACATGTCACTATATATATGTATATATGTATCTGTATGTCATCATGCTGTGTGTTGGTAATTTTGAAAATATGGGCTTAATGGAATATTGAGTTAATATCAGCACAGTACGGTAGACCTAAGCCTGTGTGTTCTGTAGAGGGCTCTAAAATATGCCAGTCAGACTTGCCGGGGTACCACATTTACATAAATTAGCTCATATACGCTTTTGGCACTGATATTATAAACTGTGTAGCAACAGAACGCTGCACAAGTTGTGTCTATTTCACGGTCACTGTGTTTCAACTGTTTGAATGCTGAGTCTTCATAGCTAACATGGCCAAGACAGGCCACAGAGTGGGACAGTGGGGACAGAAGTAATATTTCAGCGCCATGAGCACCACCTGCCACGAGTCTGGCTGAAGTACTGCCAAGAGTGGGACAGCGAAGACAGAATTAATGTTTCAGCACCATGAGCACCACCTGCCATAAGTCTGGCTGAAGTACTGCCGAGAGTGGGACAGCGGAGACAGAAGTAATGTTTCAGCGCCATGAGCACCGCCTGCCACGACTCTCGCTGAAGTACTGCCAAGAGTGGGACAGTGGAGACAGAAGTAATATTTCAGCGCCATGAGCACCGCCTGCCACGAGTCTGGCTGAAGTACTGCCAAGGGTGGGACAGTGGAGACAGAAGTAATGT